TTCCCTCTCTCGTGGCTCTCCCATGCAGCTTCTCCCGTTTTGCTGCCTGAGCACTGCCCTGGGGGCCCCGGGCTCCCTGGGGAGTGGACTGTGTGCTGGCTGATTTGTTAACTTAAAGGCAGCTTTACCCAGGTTTCTTGCCTCTCATGCCTTGTCTCCACCTGGAGACTTGGAGAACGACAACCACATGCCCGGTGGGTCCCGCAGGGGCCTCTGCCTCTCCTTCCTTTGCCCTCTCCCCTCCTCTGGGCTGGCAGGACTTTGGAGGTTTCCAGGGAGCTGAAAATGAAATGGAGTCCCTCTCGGGGGAAGAAAGAGCTTCCAGAAGGTGCATGCAGCCCTGTGGAAGAGGCCAGCTCCATTTCTCTGGAACCATGGGCGGGAGGTCTAGGGAAGCACTGCCTCCCTGCCCCGCCATCCAGAGCGGCCTGTGCCCCGACCTGCTGTGGCAGGAGCCCCGGAGACTGCCGGGTGACCCTGAGTGAGCAGTGGGGCGTGTGAGAGTGGGCCAAGGATGGCGTGAGGGGGCACTTGGATTCCAGGCCATCCTTGCTGAGCATCCTTGAGCTGCCTTCCAGTGGGGGCAGAAGGGGCCAAGTGCTGCTGAGTTAGCAGCTGCCGGGACCAGCTCTGTGCAGACAGTGGGAGGGTTGCTCGGAGAGGCAGGCGGTGTTGAGCTGAGTCTGCGGCTCTCCCTCTTGGGGCTGGTGTCCCCTGAAGCACAGGGGCTGAATGGTGTGGACGCTGTCCTGCTGGCCTGGCTCGTTGGGGCCAGGGAGGTCTCTCTTGGTTGGACACCGGCACTTGTGCAGAGAAACAGGTGGTGTGTCACCGGTCATGGTGTTTTGAAAAGGGGGAAGAGGCCAGAGTTGTTCACATCTACCTAGTGTTGGAAAATTTATGACCATTTTGGCTGAATTCTTTTGCAAATCTACTGTATGTCTGTTCACTACCTTTTCAGATTTGTTGTTTTTGGTTTTATTTTTGCATGTAGTAAAAAGTGTTAATTTTGTTGCAGACAAGGTCTAGGTGAGGGGTCAGAGATCAGGGCTGAACTGGGAGGGATCCTTTGCATTCTCACGGTTGGCCCTGACTTTCAGCTGTGCTGGGACTACTGGCTGGTCACATCACCTCTCTGCCTCAGTTTCCCTATCTGTAAAATGGGAGAATAATACTTGCCTACCTACCTCACAGGGGTGTTGTGAGGATTCATTCGTGATTTTTTTTTTTTTTTTTTTTTTTAATTTGCGAAGCCTGCTTAATGCTACAGATTCCCCTCTCTAGGACTCTTCTAGTTACACATAGCTCTAGCACATGCCACTGTCCATGTGCTGGGTAACCTAACTCCCTTTGTTTTTTTTTTTTTTTTTTTTTTTTGTACAGAGCTTTTGAGCATTAAAAGTGGCTAAATGTGAAGTGCGCTTGGCTGCCTATGTCTTTAGTGTGGGTCAGGTGTTACAGAACTGGTGCGTGCTGGGGTCCCTGCTACTTCAGAGTAAGGGTGGGAGGGCAGGGAGAGCCAAGAGCACCTGCCCGTAGTGCACCTGATTCTCAGAGAAGGTGGATTTTCCTGGATGTCTCTCTCTTTCCTTCACATCCCCAACCATGTTTGACCATCTCACTCTGGATGCCCACGGCTGACGTGCTGAGCCCCTTCTTGAAGAAGGCAACATAACAGGCTAATTCACGCTGAAGTGTGAAGGACTGTTATATCCAGGGAAATGGAACAAAATGGGATTTCAAGGGCTATGAAGGAGGGTGGTCCTCAACCTCTATTTCCTTTTCTTATCCCTGCAGGCTCCCCTTGGTCCCTTTAGGCCCCTGAAGGCTTGAACACACTTGTGTTGAGAAGTTGGTGTGTAAAGAGGCAGTAGGGAGAGTGAGGCAGAGAGAGTGCTGACCTGAGGCTTCTCTCTAAGCTCTTCCAGGATTAGGGGGATCAGACCCTCTGGGTTGTAGTTCCAAGGTCAGCTGGGGGTGGTGAGAATGGAATCCAGAGCTCCGACCGCATAGGGTTGGTGACCTCCCCAGCCTTGGAGGGGAGGCCTCCTGGGGTTATTTCCCAGCACAGCAGAGTCCAGGCATGCTCTATGTGGCTTCTGAATGTGAGTGCAGTGGTGTATACACCAGTGTGCATGTGTGTCCGTATGTGCGGTGGTTCAGCACTTCTCTGCCAGGGATGAGGGGATTGTAAAACTATGATCAGTAGAAGGATCTTCTGGGACCCTGATGGAGGTGTGGCAGGGTCTTGGGACGACCAGGACTGGCAACTGGAATACTGTCCAGCGAGCCCTGGACGTCCGCTGCAGCATCACCGGGGGTGCGCCGCTCCAGTTCCCCCTCAGGAGGACCCGCTGCAAGAGCAGATGGCACAACTCCCAGCCACTGCAGCTTCGATCCAACACGCACCAAGGCCGCGCTCTATCTCCAGCCCTTTCCCCACTCGGGCTCTCGCAGATGATGACTGAGGCCGGCAGGGCTCTCGAGCCACTAGCCACGCTGTTTCTACCCGTGGCAGCCTTGCCTGGGGCCTCCCCATTGGTCTGGCTGGGGGTTCCCCAGACCCACCCTGCAGCGTGGGGCTCTCGCTTCCTCTCTCCTTTCATGGGCGTCGGACCCGCATCGTGGTCTGCAGGCTCTTATGGCCTTCTGCCGCCTCCTCCTTTAGCCTTCACAGGGGTTTCCACAAATAAATCTCTTGCACATCTGATCCCCGTGGTGTCTGCCACTCTGAGGGCCTGAATGACACACCCTCAGCCTCTCCTTGGCCTCTCTGGGCAGCTTCCTCATCCCTCTTGCTGGTTAAGGCAACCTTCTCTGGCACTGCGTAGGGCCACCATCAGCCCGGTCTCCAGCTTCATATGTTACAGTTCCAGCCAGACTCAGTTGTCTTTCTCTCTCTTGCACTGCCCTGCCCCTCCATCTCGAATGTGGGGCTGCGGGGCCTGTGGACTGGGGCCCATGTGGAAGGAAATCGTTGCTCACCTTCTCTGTGGGTGGGGTGGGGTGGGCAAGGCAGGACTGAGGCGCTTAGAGTTATCTGGGTGGATACCCCTAAATCTGCGAATGGCAGTGCCAACCTCTGATTATTTCCTAAATAAAGGGAATATTTCCTATTAGACCATTATAAAGGTTTTCAATTTGTCCTCCAGAAATGTCCTGTTGGATAGTCTCAAATAGCAATTAATGAGCTCACTGTTTCTCATGCCTGGCCAGCACCGCCTATTCCATTTTTTAAAAACTTCTCACTAGTTTTGTGGCTCACAATAGGATCTCATATGTGTTTAATTTTATTTATTTACTTATTTTTTATTGAAGTATAGTTGCTGTACAGTATATGTTACAGGTATGTAATGTAGTGGTTCACAATTTTTAAAGGTAATACTCCATTTATAGTTCTTATAAAATATTGGCTATATTCTCCATGTTGTACAGTATATCCTTGTAGCTTATTTTATACCTAATAGTTTGTACCTTTTACTTCCCTACCCCTGTATTACCCATCCCCCCTTCCCTCTCCCCACTGGTAACCAATAATTTGTTCTCTATATCTGTGAGTCAGCTTCTTTTTGGTTGTATTCACTGGTTTGTTGTATTTTTTAGAGTCCACATATAAGTGATATCCTATACTATTTGTCTTTCTCTGACTTATTTCACAAAACATGATATTCTCTAGGTCCATTCTTGTTTCTGCAAATGGCAGAATTTCATTCTTTTTTTATGGCTGAGTAATGTGTGTGTGTGTGTGTGTGTGTGTGTGTGTGTGTGTCTATATATATATATA